TAGCTTTATATGGGGTGTTATAGCTTTATATGAGGTGGTATAGCTTTATATGGGGTGTTATAGCTTTATACGGGGTGGTATAGCTTTATATGAGGTGGTATAGCTTTATATGGGGTGGTGTAGCTTTATATGGGGTGGTGTAGCTTTATATGGGGTGGTATAGCTTTATATGGGGTTGTATAGCTTTATATGGGGTGGTGTAGCTTTATATGAGGTGGTATAGCTTTATACGGGGTGGTATAGCTTTATATGGGGTGGTATAGCTTTATATGGGGTGGTATAGCTTTATATGGGGTGGTATAGCTTTATATGGGGTGGTATAGCTTTATATGGGGTGGTATAGCTTTATATGGGGTGGTGTAGCTTTAAATGGGGTGGTATAGCTTTATATGGGGTGGTATAGCTTTATATGGGGTGGTGTAGCTTTATATGGGGTGGTGTAGCTTTATATGGGGTGGTGTAGCTTTATATGGGGTGGTATAGCTTTATATGGGGTGGTGTAGCTTTAAATGGGGTTGTATAGCTTTATATGGGGTGGTGTAACTTTATATGAGGTGGTGTAGCTTTAAATGGGGTGGTGTAGCTTTATATGGGGTGGTATAGCTTTATATGAGGTGGTATAGCTTTATATGGGGTGGTGTAGCTTTATATGAGGTGGTGTAGCTTTATATGGGGTGGTATAACTTTATATGGGGTGGTATAGCTTTATATGGGGTGGTATAGCTTTATATGGGGTGGTGTAGCTTTATATGGGGTGGTATAGCTTTATATGAGGTGGTATAGCTTTATATGGGGTGGTGTAGCTTTATATGAGGTGGTGTAGCTTTATATGGGGTGGTATACTTTATATGGGGTGGTATAGCTTTATATGGGGTGGTATAGCTTTATATGGGGTGGTATAGCTTTATATGGGGTGGTGGATTATAATCAATCAAAACTAGAGAGGTTGCCCATACTAGTATCATAGTCATGAGTTTTACCTGCTGCAGTAAAACATGGTAGAAATATATAATAGTTGTATGTTGAAGAGACACATATTCATTCTACAAGTATATCTTTTCTTTTTACATGGTAGTAAATTACTACTAGTAAGTATTTAATCCAAGACTTCCAGGGAAGAAATGAAAAGAGCCCCATGTACCAGACAGAAAGCCTGTACCAGTACTTTTTCTGCAGACATGGCTTTGCCAAGCTTTTCCACCTGAATGATTTAGTCTGACTGTTGGAACCATTAAAATTCTACTATCAATTCAAGTAGTATAAAACTATATGAGGAGGAGGAATTTATTATCAAACTGGATGTGATTATTGGCCATCAGCCAGAAATATTCTATCTCAACTTTATATACACAAACTGAATACTGAATACTATAACCTATATTAGACTGTAAACTTATACTGTATATAAATTGAGACTATTACTGTAATGTACAGTATATAATGTTGATAATTGGTCTGTAATATTAATATGACTTTTTTAACCACATACCATGTTAAACAGTTAAATAGAAAAACATTTGAATAAATAATTTAAGATTTAAGAAATTTTCAAATGTTGATTCAAAACTTTAGTTTTATTGCCCAATCTTATGGTAGTTTTCCTCATTTCAATGTTTCTTTTACAAAATAAAACTTCACAAATCAGTCTAAAAAAAGATTTCAGATTTCAGCAGATATTATTGTCATAAAAATCAAGAGAAAATTCACCCTGTGTAAAAAATATCAGTAAATCAGAAGATCTGATTAATATAAGATTGAGGTGTTGGTACATGACTTAAGCCTGTTTGACCACCTACTAGAGTACAATAGATAGATAGATAGTAGAGTATAATAGAAATTTAAATAGATTTCAATAGACTAAACCTTTACTACACTCTATCAAAACATGATATAAACAGACCTCTAAGTTATTTACAGATTTACATTACTCAACTTTATTACACTTACAAAACATCAAACTTATTATAATAATATTATAGCTAGACCTATTGCAACTCGAATTTAAATTCTTCCCATGCCTTAATTAATATCTTATCCAAGAAGAACTCAATGATTCTGCACAAGACAATATTATGGAATAAAACACACTTCTTAAATAACATAACACATAATGTTTGGATATAATTTACATTCATCATTATCAGATGAAATGAGGGAATTCTGTTGAAACATTTTGTACTTGATTCTATTAAAGATGTGTGTTTATTCCATAATATTACTACCTGTACTTGTAGTAAACAGAGGTTCTAAAATCAACTACCAAAATAATGACAATTTTAAATACAATAGCAGCATTGAAACTATGGCTTGTAAATCACACACTGATAATGGCACAATAGCAGAACAAATACACAATTCGCCCCACCCCACCCATTTGTCCTCAAGGTTCCATACCTAGAAATCACGTCAAGGTTCTACATGACAAAACATGAGTCATAAACTGACAAACCAACCTCGCGTCAGTAAAAATAGCCACCTACTCAAGAAGAAACTGTTGGGTTCATAAATTTACTAACCTTTTTTGCTAATGTAGTTTTTGATTATCGAAAATACCCATAAAAATGTTGAGTCGAAATAGTTTGGTAGTGTTTAGCTGCCATCTTGAGTTTGTGTTATTAATTCTCTGTATTTTGATTGGTTAGTTGAGAGTAACAGGTGTATCAGGGGAAATAACTCCATTTTTCAACCTCAAATTTCTTGACTCTGTTTAAAGGAACTCTTCCTGGTTAAAATGATAAAAAAAATATTTTTCTGAATTGAAAAGGAAGTCCTATTTTTCAATATCTTATTGTACAAATGTAGTTGAGGAAAGTCGTGCAGTGTGGAATAAGGGAAATTGTGATAAAAATGAATATAAATAGCATGATTGCTTATTAAAGGAATAATACCTCTTAGAGTGGATATAAAAATATCTAAATTCAATAAGAGTATATATTCATCAGTTAGACTTGCCAGGTGTCATGATTAAACAATAGAATCTCTATATAACACGATATATCTATTAAACTTAATGATTACTTCTAACATGTTTCAAATTACTTAGTTTAATGAATTATTACTTAGTTTAATGAATTATTACTTAGTTTTATGAATTATTACTTAGTTTAATAAATTATTACTTAGTTTAATAAATTATTACTTAGTTTAATAAATTATTACTTAGTTTAATGAAATATTACTTAGTTTAGTGAATTATTACTTAGTTTAATGAATCATTACTTAGTTTAATAAATTATTACTTAGTTTAATGTATCATTACTTAGTTTAATGAATTATTACTTAGTTTAATGAATTATTACTTAGTTTTATGAAATATTACTTAGTTTAATGAATTATTACTTAGTTTAATGAAATATTACTTAGTTTTATGAATTATTACTTAGTTTAATGAAATATTACTTAGTTTAATGTATTATTACTTAGTTTAATGAATTATTACTTAGTTTAATGAATTATTACTTAGTTTAATGTATTATTACTTAGTTTAATGTATTATTACTTAGTTTAATAAATTATTACTTAGTGTAATGAATTATTACTTAGTTTAATGAAATATTACTTAGTTTTATAGATTTATTAGATTATAGAGAGATTCTGTTGTATAGTTATGACACCAGGTAAATTCACTGATGAACAAAGATTCATTTTGGCGATTCAAAAATTTAAATTTTTTGGTCATCCTAAGAGGAAGTATACCTTTAATATAGAAGGTTTACAAAATATCTGTAATCATGCACGTTGCTGGGATAGGAAGGGTAAAACAGATTCAAAGTACTATGTTTCTCTACTCAGTTTTCTTGATAATGTAAAATCTAGGGTAGTCAGGCACCCCTTCAATTCACACTGATAAGGATTTAGTTTCCTTATCTAATATCTAACAATAAAAAATAATAAAATGGTGAAATTTGTTTTGATATGCCTTTCAGGTAAAACGATTCTATTTCTAGAGATATCTTATTAGTTTGGGTGAACTTGATTACGTTTAAGTCATATTTGCATTCTGAACACAGACAACTATCATAGTTGTGCTAACTCGCTGGTCAGGAATTCTGACTACTGTTAACCGCCATTGTTCCAGCAAACGAAACGGGCGAACCCATTAACTGTTCAATATAAGAGTGTATGGGTATGATCAATGTATGATACAGACTCTGGTTTATTTTCCAGTTTGTATGTTATTTTGTCTAGTTGGAACTCAGTTGGTAGCTGAAGATTGTGGTATAGCTAATGGTCCAGCGGTCAATCAACTAATAGTGGGCGGTACCGAGGTTCATCCTAGATATAAATGGCCCTGGGTGGTAAGAATATCGTTAACGTTAACTTGTCATCTACCTACCTACCTAAGAATATCGGGGATACTGATGAAATCAACTTGCACTATTCCAATGTTTAGTCTATTGTTTTGCAATGACAATGAAACATAAAGCTTGCTGGATTGTGCCGCTGATACACTTGTTCGTATATTTAGAAAACATCTTTACAATCCCTTTAAAAACACCGTACTAGCTGACTCAATCCTATCAAGAAATCCGAATGAATCTCAGGATATAGAATCTACTCGATGTTTCAAGAGGTTCCTTATTGTTCAGTACTCAGACCTCGGAGGTTCCCACTGTAATAATTGTCTGGTTTATTTCAGGGTATGCTAATTAGACGTGGTATTTTCTGGTGTGCTGGTTCTCTCATACAGAATCAACATAGTGATTATTTCTTTATAACGACAGCTCATTGTGTGTGAGTTACTTCCCTTTTTCTCTGGCTTTTCTTTATCAACATTATCCTACTTTATCCTACTTTAAAGTGTAATTAATGTGCTGTAAATCTATAAATATCCATGTCAAGAAGTTTGTCCAAGGACCAGTTGGTAGAAAAACATCCTTTGAGAACCCATTCAGTTGTAATTTTTGTAAAAAATGGTGGTTTCTTTGTTTGTTTTCAGAGACAACATCCCAGCTGATGAATTTATAATAAAATTAGGTTCTCATTTTAACTCTGAAACTATCGTTGAACCAGATCGACAATATCTCCAGGTCGACAATATTACAACTCACCCAAACTTCGACTCTAATACTTTTGAAAACGATATCGGAATACTGCAAGTTAAAAACACGACTGAAATTCCTCTATATAACGACACCATACGTCCAATCTGCTGGGCGAATCAGAATCATGTTCCATTAGAATTCTGTACTGTGGTTGGTTGGGGAGCTCTGTTTGAAGGTGGTAAGTGTAGAGTGTAAAATTCTAGCCAACTGGCTCAACTGCTGACTGGCTTGCTTATTGTCTCTAACTCAGACTGATATAGAGCAGTAGGACGTAACACTCCATATGATATCAATAGTCCAAGTTGTCTTACCGACTTGCTAACCCATTCTATTCTTATTCTAATTTTCAGTTATATATTGAACAATGAGATGTAAAACTCCTTTCATTTTTTAAGCCCAATAATGTGCAAATTTCAAACCCTTTTCAGCTCTTAAACATTTTCTAACCATATTATTTTAAAAAAGACAACAGTAGGCCATAAACGAAAGTTCAGTATTTAAAACCATGTTGTGTCAAGAGGAGATAAAACTAGATATCTATATAAATACTAGTTATGTATAGGAAGTAAAGCTCCATTTAATTTCAAACCATATTGTATTAACAGGAAGTGAGTCAGAGACTCTACAGGAAGCAGTAAAACCAATTCTAGATGATACTCAATGTACACAACAACTCGGTTCCAGTAATTTTAAACCTGATTCAATGTTATGTTCTGGAGTAGATAATGGTGGTATTGATACTTGTACTGTAAGATTTAAATATTTTTAATTTCCTCTCAAATTCATCTGAATCTTAGGCACTTCAACAAATACATACACCGGTGCCATTACTATATACAGTTTATTTTATGACAATAGTACGTGTTTGTATCTTTTCAACTAAAATTATACTAATGACTTACTAATTTTCACATAATTAATAGACTTATCTATTGCTCTGTGACCTAGGCCAGACGTGTAGACTGTCAGCACATTCAGACAGTTATAACTAAACTACAGGACATTTCATATTTGATTCGTTATCATCATCATCATCCCCTCCACGTCAACATCATCATCCCCTCCACGTCAACATCATCATCCCCTCCACGTAAACATCATCATCCCCTCCACGTAAACATCATCATCCCCTCCACGTAAACATCATCATCACCGTTTGTAACATCATCATCACCGTTTGTATCATCATCGTCGTCGTCGCCATCTGCATCATCATCTGCATTATCGTCCTCTTCGTCGTAATCACACGATCGACCATGATACCATATATCTACATGATAATGTTTATCCTAGATTCCGTCTTGAAATATTTCAGCGTGACAGTGGTGGTCCATTCTTTTGTCACCGTCACGGACACTGGCAGTTAGTAGGTGAGCTGTTTACTTACCGTTCTAAAAAATCAGTTTCCAGTGGTCAGAATGGGATATCACGACCAACTAGCTCTCAGATTGCTAAACAAAATAAAAGTTTTCTATGGTCAGCATTAGACTAGAACACACCAAACTAGGTACAATGACAGTTTGCCGTGCTTCTGGGGTTGGAGCAAACCAAACAAACTTGCCAACTAGCCAACAGATTCTTTTTAACCCTGGCATTTTTCTGCAGTGAGAATTAAAGTTTAAATCATCGTCTAACTTGTTGGCAGATTGTTTGGTAAATGTTATGTTGTAAATTCTCCCGAATTAATGCCATGTTATTATGATAATTTCAGGAATAACAAGTTTTGGGTTGAATGGATGCGGTAGACCGAACTCCCCTGGTGTTTATACAGACTGTTGGGACCTGAAACCCTGGGTAGAGTCTGTCATCAATAGTGTTTGAGGTTCTATTTAAAATAAATACTTCATTGGCTTTTGAACATTGACATTAAGATTTCAGGTGGAGTTGCTAGTTGCATATAAAGACTTGACAAATATGATCTCATGGTGGCTTTTCAAAAGAGCGATAAACTTTCGGCCACAAACGATTGGGGTTTGAAGTTGAGGGATCTTTATTGCTTGGCGTAAGACATAATCTAAGTATCGTCGTTACTGCTAGACGGAAGATCCTTTCTGTTCTGTTCTTACGGTTCTGTTTAACCGAAAGCTATCACAATGGTTGAGTATAGTTCGTCGGATGGTCATAATGCCTCAACGTAAGTCCGTTACTGCTCGACAAAAGGTTGATTATGACGTTGTCGACAGGAAGTTTTTATTGCTCGACGAAGTAGAGAGATTTTTTATGCTTGGCGTAAGGCAGTTGTTGCCCAACCTAATTGCTTATCGGAATGTCGTTACATCTTAAAGAACGTTACTGCTCGACGAAATTTCGTTTATGATCGACCAAGTCTATTGATTGACGAAAGGTCGATATTACTTATTAGATGTTTGTCGATTGAAAATGTCTTGAATTGGTTGAATTGTGATCCAAATCACTATGTGACGAGTTATTACAGAGTTATTGTCCTTGACTTAATCTTGTGTATTTTTACATAGCTTATTAACAATGATATGGTTCATTTATCATGTGTATAATTATGTTCTATTATGTTGCATTGTCTTTTCTATGCCGTCGACAGTTGTAACGAGAAAAAGTTACTACATAGAAGGAAATAATATCGCCTTGCAAGAACAGCAGAGTGGTTACCCTTGAACCATTTTTAGTTCTCATCGTCAGCTTATAAGACACGAAGATTGTCCATCGAGGCCTAGTAAGAATATAAATTGTCGAAACGTTGTGAACAATTCATTTCAAGTGGAAACAATGAATAAGTAACAAAACAGTTTCTTAATTGCGATATTATTAATTAGTTTGGGGCATTTGGCTAAGAATGGAACAACATATATCATAACTGACAGTTTATTGAAAAAACATTGTGAACTCTCTAGATTTCGTCTAGTTGATGATGGAATCTACCCAGGATCCGAGTTTATAAGTATCAGCGTATACTCCAGGGTTATTGGGTCTGGCACAGCCGTAACCCCAGCTTACAACACCTGGAAATATAAAGGATGAAAAATATTAGACACGGGGTAAACGTATGGTTGTCAGATAGCGACTGGAGAGGTTAGGGTCAATTTCGGGACAGTATATATAAGAACCCACGTGTATCCCTCAACTGCTCAACTCTCGCGGTGACTAAGTGTAAGACAACTCACCTGTAAGTTCATAAATACCACCTCGGGATGTGAATAAAGGTCCTCCACTGTCACCCTGTAATATACAATAGTTAATATCATTATAAACATATATATATATATAGAAATATTACTGATATTACGTAACATACTTACATCATACCTTGACATTTGTAAACATTTCTTTACTTATTACCAAGATCTTTCGTAACACTTATCGTACCGAGATATTCTAAACTTACCTGGCAAGCATCTTTACCACCATTGATTAAACCAGAACACAACATAGTGTTAGAATCGAATCCACTGACCAGACTAGAGCAAGAACTGGTGGAGAGGATTGGTTTACTCACTTCCTGGAGGTTATTAGGGGAAGAACCTGAAATAGTAACATTGTCACCATGTGATTCTTTGAAAGAAGACATAGTAACATAGTAACATTGTAACATAGTAACACAGTAACATTGTAACATTGTAACATAGTAACATTGTAACATAGTAACATTGTAACTTTGAAACATTGTAACATAGTAACATAGTAACATTGTAACATAGTAACATAGTACGGCGTAAAACTCCATTATATTTCAATATCCCTGTCAAAAGCACTTCAGCGTGATCAAGATCAGAATAAGTTGTATTTACCGCCCTCGGTTAAAGTTCCCCAACCGATAACAATAGCTTCTTCATTATTGGTGTATCCTCGACTGGCCCAGCAGATTGGTTTAATTCTGTCAGATTCGGTGACTTGACTGGACAAAGTCAATACAGCAATATCGTTTCTCAAGTTCTGGGCGTTGTAGTTTGGATGCATGGTAATCTTAGAGACACTTCTGGTGACGGATCCACTTTCACTGGTAGTTCTAAAGTGACTTCCGAATTTCACAGAGTAACTGTTGGCGTTGCCACCATATCTAAAGTTAACATATGATAATATAAGACATCATTTGTTTGATGGTGATAATTACAAGGAAACTTTATATAAACCCATTACGACATGTTCTATTTACTCTGATTGCAAGGAGGGTTAAGTCTAGAGTTTACAAAGTTAAAATATTTATTATCGCGAGCCTTTAGTCTTTTTGTTTTTACATTTACAAGAATAACAACTTAGGTTCACAGTTTAAGGATCTTCCTAACCAGCTGGTCCTTGACCGAACTTCTGAGCAGTGATCTTTCCTGAATACAAGGATAGTAACTCACTAGTTCACTAAGGAGCCTATCTACCAGCTCGTCAATGGTCAAACGTCTTGGTATTGATAATTCCTGATATAGAGATAAATATATACTTACACACAATGAGCAGCAGTGATATAGTATTGAGTTCCACTCTGAGATTTGACCAGGGAACCTCCACAGATGTGAGAGTTAGATCTTCTCAAAGAACCCTGGAAAATAAATATTACACATTATTAACTCACTCTAAACTGTTTTTGTAGGGTTTAAATTTAGAGCAATAGTCAGAATGAGGGTAGGGAATGTTTGGTTTGATATTTTCAGCCAATCAACTCCATCCTCTTCACAATGACATATAGTCGACAAGGAACATCGACTTTGTTATTTGTGTTTGACCTTAGTTTCAAACTATGTTTTGCGTTATGATCTTCTCTACCGTGTTCTGTTTTAATACGATTTGTTATTTTGTAACGCCACGCAGTGTACAATGTACAACAGATTAACGCCTTTGAGAAATTTCTATTTACAAAGTCTCGCCCAAGTGTTTTTACTAAATGTGTTTCCTTAGAAGGTTCAAAACAGACAGAATTTTCTGCAAGAACAGTGTTTTTTTTGCTCAGGAAGATCTACTTAGAATTCATTTAGACTGATGATATTTAGTGGCCCCTGTACGTGCAAAAATATATATGTCCTACTTAGTGAATATATGAAAAGATACTCACAATAAATGGGTATTTGTATCTGGGAGACACCTCCTGACCACCAACAATCAGTGGATTAGAATTCAGGGCAGTGGCACAGTTATTACTGCTGGTAATTCTTTCTTTGGCAGAGGCTACAATAAGACACAATAACGGAGTTCAAGTTTTACAAACTGACAAACTAACGTCAATTAGTCAGAATAACGGAGTTCAAGTTTTACAAACTGACAAACTAACGTCAATTAGTCAGAATAACGGAGTTCAAGTTTTACAAACTGACAAACTAACGTCAATTAGTCAGAATAACGGAGTTCAAGTTTTACAAACTGACAAACTAACGTCAATTAGTCAGAATAACGGAGTTCAAGTTTTACAAACTGAAAAACTAACGTCAATTAGTCAGAATAACGGAGTTCAAGTTTTACAAACTGACAAACTAACGTGGGAGTAGAGTGGTTCTTCTTGACCAACTCAAATATCAAAAAGACATTATCAAGCATGATAGTCCAGAACAGTTGATGTTACTGTGCGATTTGGTTTCTCATATCGATATTCCATGTCACCGAGTATTTATCCATATGGCTGAAGATATTTCTTTGGTAATTTATTACACGGTCTGAGACAAAAAGGGTTGAAAAACACCGGAATAGTTTGTCATCATTTTCCCAGAAAACAATAATACCAAGCGTTTTTCTAAATAAAGATATTTGCCTACCTGCCACAACCAAGAGGCACAAACTCAAAAAAGCGAGCATTGTCTTTGTCCTTCAAATACTAAACTGATATGAAAGCGAGTTTGAATGTAGAATTTTGTATTTATATGGTGAAAAAAGAACAAGGCCGAGGCCTTATCAGACCAGATGTTCGAATCAGCCAGGGTAGGTCAGATCTTACATTTTACATCTAGTCTCGATCTATTTTAGAAATTATTCCTTTATATTCACAGAATGTACACATGCATGTGCCATGTTTTATCACGTGAGATTTCTGGGTGTTCGAACACGTCGTTAATGTCATGACGGTATGCATTTTCAACTTATTTCTTCACAAGTAGAAAACTTGAGATGTACCTATACAAATCACAATCCCCTAGTCAAAGTACATTAGCCGATAAAATAAAATCAGGAGGCCAAAAAAAGCTGAATTCGATAACCATCCTAGATCAGAACTAAACGACAAAGTGGAAAGAGTAAGTTATTGGCAAGTTCAAATTTAACAATACATCAAATTACAGAAACAGGCAACAGAGGGATGACCCACTCCCACCCACCCCAAACAGCCCCGAAGGCATGATTTCCGAGCAAAAACCTCATAACTAGGTTTCCAATTCGAGCAACCTCAGATATTTCGCCCCCCTTGGACGTAAACCTGGATCCGCCCAATCTAGATAATTATTTCCCTTTCAATATAATATACACTAAAAGTTTAATTTGAGCTCTATATCCCTATATCCCTTTGAGTTCTATCAATTGATGAAATAAATAACTAGATGCCTATATCCCTTTGAGTTCTATCAATTGATGAAATAAATAACTAGATGCCTATATCCCTTTGAGTTCTATCAATTGATGAAATAAATAACTAGATGCCTATATCCCTTTGAGTTCTATCAATTGATGAAATAAATAACTAGATGCCTATATCCCTTTGAGTTCTATCAACTGATAAAATAAATAACTAGATGCCTATATCCCTTTGAGTTCTATCAACTGATAAAATAAATAACTAGATGCCTATATCCCTTTAAAGTAAAGCTTTGTATTTTGGAATCAAAGATCATAAAAAAAAATCATAATCAGAGCTAGATGTGTAAAAAGTCAATTTATTTTTGCATTTTATGTTCTACTTCTTGCAGGAATAACCTTGTTACTATTGAACTATATTTATACAGAGTAACTCTTTTATATTGAACTATTTTTACTATATTTATACAGAGTAACTCTGTTATATTGAACTATTGAACTATATTTATACAGAGTAACTATGTTGTATTGAACTATTGAACTATATTTATACAGAGTAACTCTGTTATATTGAACTATTGAACTATATTTATACAGAGTAACTCTGTTATATTGAACTATTGAACTATATTTATACAGAGTAACCAGAGTTACTCTGTTATATTGAACTATTGAACTATATTTATACAGAGTAACTCTGTTATATTGAACTATTGAACTATATTTATACAGAGTAACTCTGTTATATTGAACTATATTTATACAGAGTAACTCTGTTATATTGAACTATTTTTATACAGAGTAACTCTGTTATATTGAACTATATTTATACAGAGTAACTATGTTGTATTGAACTATTGAACTATATTTATACAGAGTAACTCTGTTATATTGAACTATTGAACTATATTTATACAGAGTAACTATGTTGTATTGAACTATTGAACTATATTTATACAGAGTAACTCTGTTATATTGAACTATTAAACTATATTTATACAGAGTTACTCTGTTATATTGAACTATTGAACTATATTTATACAGAGTTACTCTGTTATATTGAACTATTGAACTATATTTATACAGAGTAACTCTGTTATATTGAACTATATTTATACAGAGTAACTCTGTTATATTTAATGATTTTAACTCGGACGCCATTGAATCAGTTTAAGGGTGAGCAATTAACATAGGAGATTAACTTTCAGAGCAATTTTGAAATTTCTGAAACAAGCTGCCGTGATGATTGTGTACCTGAAACACTTGCCGACCCTAATCGATTTGACGATTTGAGATAGTCTGATGTTTTTCTGTCTTGTCCACTCAACTTTCGTCTTTAAAAACACTACCCCCCTACTTACCAATAAATAAATGGGGCCGTCGTTTAATATGTTATTTTCATCCGGAAAATGAGCATTTTGATCTGATTAGAATTCGTTCCGTTTTTTGTAAGCTTTTATTTTAGTCACCCGAGTCTTAAGGACCCGCTCTTGTTGAATGACCTTTGATCCAACCTAATGACCTCTGCTTGAACCAATCGAATGATTCTTGACAAATTCAAAACAAATGAGTTGAATATATCTCTGTCCATTATCAGCCATTTTTTCATTATTCACTATCATTATTATTTTAATTTGTCTGAGACTGATATATATTTTGTTAAAAGTCTGTAAATAGTTGTACTAGATGTGAAACATCAGGTGTTTATCTGAATTAGTCTGATGTCGTCAACCAGTAATCTGTTGGTGTTTTATATTCGTTATTTTAATAATGACCTCATTTCTTCTTCCAGTCACGATCTTTATCATATTATATTTTTACGTGTCCGAGTTGTCAGTAGGTCAATATTTAATAATAGAATGTAAGTCAGCTGACACGCTTTGAACATTACTTGATCCACATTTTAGATGTTTGTATTACATGAAGTAAAGATTCAGGTACTTCCTGAGTGAGTTTTCCATGCCGCGTCTTCCTTGGCGAGTTTTCAACGTCGCGTTATCCTCGGGAAATTTTCAACGCCACATTATTTTATGTGAGTTTTCAACGACACGTTAACCTCGGTAAGCTTTTAACAACACGTTAACCTCAGTGTGTTTTCAACAACACGTTAACATCAGTGAGTTTTCAACAACACGTTAACCTCAGTGAGTTTTCAACAACACGTTAACCTCGGTGAGTTTTCAACAACACGTTAACCTCGGTGAGTTTTCAACAACACGTTAACCTCCGTGAGTTTTCAACAACACGTTAACCTCAGTGAGTTTTCAACAACACGTTAACCTCGGTGAGTTTTCAACAACACGTTAACCTCGGTGAGTTTTCAACAACACGTTAACCTCGGTGAGTTTTCAACAACACGTTAACCTCAGTGAGTTTTCAACGCCATGTTATGTTAGGTGAATTTCAACGCCGCGTTAACCTCGGTGAGTTTTCAGCACCGTATCATGCTCATCTGTGTTTCTCCGCACGATGACAGCACTGTCAGTCTCATTGTGTATTTGTCGTGGAAATTGCCGAGTAAAACTCTTCGAGGCAAAAAAAAAATTACGAGAGAGTAAAATGTTTACAAGGCAAGACGGAAAACTACTTCAAAATTTCTTGGTCGAAATATGGTCGACCTGTGTCACAGAGCCAGACCAGAAAATGTTGAAAAACAGATGATGTGACAATATCTTGTGAACTTTATTTTGTATAATAATAAAAATAATAATTGTTGTTGAAATGATGATGATGATGATGATGATGATGATGATGATGAATAATCAAGAAGGAAGAATATGAATTTTTACAAGTTTCTGTCCAACTCTAACAATATGAGGAGATTTATAAAATCCAAAATGAAGCCCAACATGGCGCCGACTCCTAAAATGGTTCATGGGACTGTAAGCTTCGATATTTTTTCCATCAAACATGTAAATTCCTCTGAGAACTGTTTTGAGCATGGCACCACGAATACTAAAATTACTGGCACTAACAACTAAAATATCACAGTTCGTCAGAATCAGCTGGTCCAATATGGCCGTCTCAAAGCCTTCGCACGCCTCGTCTTTCTTCCTCTGTCTATCAATATGTAAAATAGTTCCTCCCGTATCTACGTACAAACTTCCAAATCTTTCACGTGCTAATTTTCTCACGTCATCATTATCAGTAGCAACGAAATACTTCCGCACTTTTTTGAATTTTTCCATAAATTTCCAGACCGTTTCGACACTTTCTAGCTGAAGCCGCGGGGGGTCGTTTCGTAGATATTTACTAAATCCTATTCTGACATGCGCACAAACCAGGGGACCATCAGTACTTCCGCTATAGATTAGATTATCAATACGTTTTTGTAAACGTTGAGTTGGTTTCATTAATTGTTTCCAAACTCGGCGGAATATCGCCGGTCTGTTTCTATTTAAGACAAATTTCGGCATTTTGTTTTTGAATTGTTCTCTCACTACCCGTATAGTGTCCATATTGGTCTGAATATACACGACTTCCTCTTTAAGCGAATCTTTCTCATCAACTTGCGACGGGTCAGAATCAATCGAATAAATCACTCTCGATGTCTTATTTTTTAAATCAGCGTCAGTCACCAACCACGAGATTTCATTTGGTTCATAAAACTGGGAGATATCACACGGTGACGTCATTCGAACACCAAATGATCTGTTATACGCTAAAGATAATAAATAGAGGGAAACGATTCCTCGTTGTCTGTCGCCCCATCCCCCACACCAAGCTGTATCGTCACACAGGTAGATTAAATATTTCTGATTTTTATCACTGACACTTTTTTTCTCCTTTTCTAAATTTTTGATTTTTTTTTCAATTTCCTCCAGAATATTGTCTGTGGTCGACTGTAACGGAGTTTCTCTAGGTACCTCTTGTTCCAAATCAATCACATCTTCCTGAGAATCATCTATAAACCGAGATAGGAATGGAATTTTATCGAGAATTTTAGTCGGCACATCACTAGCTTTCTCAGAAATATTTCCCACTAGGTGTCGCCAGTTGAGATTTTGACTGAGTAAATGGTGGCCGGAACCGGAAGTTAATGTCGAATGGCTGTAGATGAGAAGACACAGAACCAAAGCGAGGATGACGATACACATAAACGTTTTCTTCAAAATCACATCCTTCGTCAATGAACTGAAAAATAGCAAAACGAATATTGATTAGTTTCAAATTTAACGGAAATTTCGAGAAGGGTACACTCTCAATAAAAATATATATTCGCTGCGGTACCGTTCATTGATCCTGAGCTCTAGTCAATTAATATTTCATATATTTCTTTCAGATAAATTCCTGACCATGTATCAAAATCTAAATACTGAATATACAATACTTAGATAGATGATGTGTTTATTTCTCGATTAATATTCTTATTATGAAATTATCTGACAACAGAATTTAAGACACCATGATAAACAAAATTACATGTCGGTTAAAAAAATCAGAACAGAACATTCCTTAAAGCTGGTAAGCGATAATTGGTGGGGTGGTCCAGATGGCGTTTGCATCAAAAAAAATCAAATTGAGACAAAAGGTTTGGGTTTATGATTATGGTGGCACTGTAGTAATAAATATTCCACTAAATGATAATTTGGCAAGTTCTTGGATAACCATTGTTCTGACAGTGATGAAATTCTTCTCTATTATACGGGTATTTTTAGAGATACATGTATTTTCATAAAAGAATGGGCCTAAACCCTATGACAAGCATTAAGTTATAACATACATCGTCTTTATGACGGAAGTTATACTTAAATATCTCTGATATGACGTCATACCTTTAGACATTGCCGATATGACGTTATACTTACACACATTGTTGATATGACGTTATACTTACAAACATTGCTGATATGACTTTATACTTAAACACATTAACGATATGACGTTATACTTACACACATTGCTGAAATGACGTTATACTTACACACATTGCTGATATGACGTTATACTTACACACATTGCCGAAATGACGTTATACTTAAACACATTGTTGATATGACGTTATACTTACACACATTGTTGATAAGACGTTATACTTACACACATTGCTGATATGACGTTATACTTACACACATTGCTGATATGACGTTATACTTACACACATTGTTGATATGAAGTTATACTTACACACATTGCTGATATGACGTTATACTTACACCCATTGCCCATATGACGTTATACTTACACACATTGCTGATATGACATTATACTTACACACATTGCTGATATGACGTTATACTTACACACATTGTTGATATGACGTTATACTTACACACATTGCTGATATGGCGTTATACTTACACACATTGCTGATATGACGTTATACTTACACACATTGCTGATATGACGTTATACTTAACACACATTGCTGATATGACTTTATACTTACACACATTGCTGATATGACGTTATACTTACACACATTGATGATATGACGTTATACTTACACACATTGCTGATATGACTTTATACTTACACACATTGCTGATATGACGTTATATTTACACACATTGCTGATATGACATTATACTTACACACATTGCTGATATGACGTTATACTTACACACATTGCTGATATGACGTTATACTTACACACATTGTTGATATGACGTTATACTTACACACATTGTTGATATGACGTTATACTTACACACATTGTTGATATGGCGTCGAACTCCGAATCTTAGTGGCTCTCTTTCCCCAGTGTTTAATGGTCGCCATTTCAAAATGTTGGTCACATCGTTTTGAGTGCAAAAACGTTAGAATCACACTAAACACAGATGGAAATCAAATATAAAGATATGATCTAATTTTATTGGCAACAAATCGTCTTGGAAGTTAATAATATAACTACTGTCTAAGAATTAATATTTAAGAATAACAACTTGAAATAGACTTAGTGCACAATGTATCTGATATACCACATTCCTACATGAAACAAAACATCCACAGAGTTTCAGAATCAAAATCTGATTTTCACCAATTATTCCTAAATATAGAATAAACATAATAAAATAAACAATAAGAAAATCTATTACTTATTGAACAGTAAGAAGACAGCATCTCTTTAAGTCAGTACAACGCCATGGTTTCAAAAACAACTGAATATCTGTCATGGTGCCAATCACAAAGAAAGTATATCAGTTTTCTTCCACAGCACTGACAGGAATCAGTCTAATTTTAAGAAATATCATGAATCATAATCTCGACATGGTACCATCAACCTTCAGTAACCAACTCACAATCCGAAAAACAATAAACAATATATCAATATAATACAATGATACCTATAGCGTTAAACCTCTAAATAAACAGATAATCTGCGAGGTATCTAGAGTTAATTATTATAAACTCTTGTCCCCTTAATGAAAATTGTTCCTTGTTTTACATCATCACAAACAAACATTGATAAACACTGATCAAGATACAACAATTAAAAACTAAAATCCACGCGAGGCCTCGGAAACACTATGTTAGCTTACATTGACCATCTGCCTTAATCTGAAATATATTCCAAATAAACCGTCCTGATGATATGTTATATATCCGATACATCTATAGATAGTAGAATGGTGTAACTGGTAAGACGTACACATTATCAAATTATCTCTCTGTTGTGAGTTTATATATCAGACACGAGTAATGACAGTCAACAGTATACAGTCAGATTTGAGAAAAAGCTAGCAAGAAGACACATATACACTTTAGAAACAGTGAAACTTGGTGATGGAATGCTCTTAACACATAGAGTAGATATATTGTTTAAGAAGAAAAACATACATACATCATATTATCATATAGAAATATATCAACTGAAATATACACCAACCCACAGAATTCTACTGTTATAGTTTGTTTTAGTTTAACTCGAGTTCGCTAAGTTTATTTTCACTCAACAATTACGATTAGTGCTCAGACATTTTCTCTAACAAATCTGGAATAAAGGGAACGCCAAATTGAGGTATTTTTGAGGTTGGTTGATTAACAGATTACAATCTGATTCAAATGGAATCAACCTGGCCTGTCCAGGGCTCTTTATCCAAAGCGTAGAAAACTCAAATTAATCTGATAAAAAAAACTCGATTAGCCAGCTGCATCCTTTTACTGTGAGAAAAAATATTTTATTGTTTGTAGGAAACTCTTTGCGACATGCACGTGTGACAGTGGACTGACGAACTCTTTTTGGGTGGGGGCAAAGAGGCGGGGAGTGGGGAAGTACTAGTGTCTAACTGACGTATACCTACCAATAATATTACTCAGATCACGTAAAAAATTCATTACTCATCATTGATATTATCACAGAGATAATCTATTCTCTAAAACACAAATCTATTCTCTAAAACACAAATCTATTCTCTAAAACACAGAACTATTCTCTAAAAGACAAAACTATTCTCTAAAACACAAAACTATTCAATAAAAGACAAAACTATTCAATAAAACACAAAACTATTCTCTAAAAGACAAAACTATTTTCGAAAACACAGAAACTATTCAATAGAAGAGAAAACTATTCAATAAAAGACAAAACTATTCTCTAAAACACAAATCTATTCTCTAAAAGACAAAACTATTCACTAAAACACAAAACTATTCAATAAAAGACAAAACTATTCACTAAAACACAAATCTATTCTCTAAAACACGAAACTATTCTCTAAAACACAAAACTATTCTCTAAAAGACAAAACTATTCAATAAAAGACAAAACTATTCACTAAAACACAAAACTATTCTCTAAAACACAGAACTATTCTCTAAAAGACAAAACTATTCAATAAAAGACAAAACTATTCACTAAAACACAAAACTATTCTCTAAAACACAGAACTATTCTCTAAAAGACAAAACTATTCGCTAAAACACAGAACTATATTCTAAAAGACAAAACTATTCACTAAAACACAAAACTACTCTCTAAAAGACAAAACTATTCAATAAAAGACAAAACTATTCTCTAAAAGACAAAACTATTCTCTAAAACACAAAACTATTCTCTAAAAAACAAAACTATTCTCTAAAACACAGAACTATTCTCTAAAAGACAAAACTATTCACTAAAACACAAAACTATTCTCTAAAAGACAAAACTATTCAATAAAACACAAAACTATTCTCTAAAAGACAAAACTATTCACTAAAACACAAAACTATTCTCTAAAACACAGAACTATTCTCTAAAAGACAAAACTATTCTCTAAAAGACAAAACCATTCAATAAAACACAAAACTATTCTCTAAAACACAAATCTATTCTCTAAAACACAAAACTATTCAATAAAAGACAAATCTATTCAATAAAAGACAAAACTATTCACTAAAACACAAAACTATTCTCTACAACACAAAACTATTCTCTAAAAGACAAAACTATTCAATAAAAGACAAAACTATTCAATAAAAGACAAATCTATTCTCTAAAACACAAAACTATTCTCTAAAACACAAAACTATTCTCTAAGTGACAAAACTATTCAATAAAAGACAAATCTATTCTCTAAAACACAAAACTATTCTCTAAAACACAAAACTATTCTCTAAAACACAAAACTATTCAATAAAAGACAAAACTATTCTCTAAAAGACAAAACTATTCTCTAAAAGACAAAACTATTCAATAAAACACAAAACTATTCTCTAAAAGACAAAACTATTCAATAAAAGACAAAACTATTCAATAAAAGACAAATCTATTCTCTAAAACACAAAACTATTCTCTAAAAGACAAAACTATTCTCTAAAAGACAAAACTATTCAATAAAAGACAAATCTATTCTCTAAAACACAAAACTATTCTCTAAAACACAAAACTATTCTCTAAAAGACAAAACTATTCAATAAAAGACAAAACTATTCTCTAAAGCACAAAACTATTCTCTAAAACACAAAACTATTCTCTAAAAGACAAAACTATTCTCTAAAACACAAAACTATTCTCTAAAACACAAAACTATTCTCTAAAAGACAAAACTATTCAATAAAACACAAAACTATTCTCTAAAACACAAAGCTATTATCTAAAACACAAAACTATTCTCTAGAAGAATAAAGGTAGAGTTTAATGATGGTTGAAGTTAAAAAATAAACAAAGAAAATAAATAAACATAGAAAATAAACATAGAAAATATTCTGTTATAAAGCTACACTAACTGACCTGTTAATGAATTTATATACATTTTTTATCAACAAATCCTATAAATATAATAAAAACGGATTTAATATTTATATCATTAACAAACCATCTGAATACTTGAATTTTATCCTACATCAGTAATTTTATTTATTCATCCCCTGACCCGACAAATATTCTAAACATTCTTAAGTTTTAACGATTTCCCTGCATTCAGTTTGCGAAAGGTTTGAAAATTTTCGAATCTTGACACATCAAATAATATTCGAGGATAAAACAAAACATATCTTATAACATTATCATATAAAAATGTCATCTACCAACCAACCACACGACTGCTTGTTCTACCATCCAACCACATGACTACTTGTTCTACCATCCAACCACATGACTACTTCATCTACCAACCAACCACATGACTGCTTGTTCTACCATCCAACCACATGACTACTTCTACTACCAACCAACCAACCACATGACTACTTATCTACCAACCAACCACATGACTGCTTGTTCTACCATCCAACCACATGACTACTTGTTCTACCATCCAACCACATGACTACTTCTACTACCAACCAACCACATGACTACTTATCTACCAACCAACCACATGACTGCTTGTTCTACCAACCAACCACATGACTACTTCTACTACCAACCAACCACATGACTACTTATCTACCAACCAACCACATGACTGCTTGTTCTACCATCCAACCACATGACTATTTCATCTACCAACCAACCACATGACTACTTCATCTACCAACCAACCACATGACTGTTTCATCTTTTTGTTACGTAAAAGATTTTTTTTATGTTTTTAAAAAAATATGAATTGAAAAATTACAGATTTCCAGATTTGACGATGTTCGGTTTATCATACAGTCCTACACACAAACAGGAGAAAGCTTTTTTTTATCTGGTTTAAAGACTTATTATTTTATGTTGCATTTTAATCCGCCATCTTGGAACCGAGTATCAAAAATGTCAAAATGAATTAGAATATAAGAAAGAAATATTTAAATGAATAACGAAGTTTATTACACAATTAACTGAGTGGTTGGCCACAATACTATAATATATTATAAAGTTTCGTGATAGGAATAAACTGAATTGTCAGAATATATTTAAAACATTAAAAATATAAAGAAATAATTTCTAGAATGTTGCCTTCACTATTCTTTTAATGCGCCACCTTGTAAAACTGTAAAACTGTAAAACTGTGACAGCCTGTCAGAATTCGAGAATCTTGAGTTGAAGAAACTGATCCAGGCCCCTTTTCTTTATCCACAAACTGATTTTCTAATGACAAAACAAAAATATATCTGTGGTACAAGAATCTTGATAAAAAATATTACTTTTAGCAAATCACTGAAAATATTATTACGATCCTAATATAATTTATATGAATCTTAGAGAACTGAGAAAACTTTATAGGAATTTATGAAGATTAGGAGAGAAGAAAATATGAAAATTTATATATGAAATCTGATAAACGAGGTCATGTCAATGTTGGCACCGGTTCCAGTTTCATGGTTTAGATTCCTGAAAGTAAAAGTCCGTTGTCGAAAATCAATTAATGTTTTTTTTAATAAGGAAAGACAAAACATCCAAATATATATTTTACAACGTCCTCAGATTGGCCCTACGCCCTACGGTCAAAGCAAAACGTTTCCCATCGATTTGTTGTTTTCTACTGAATAAATCTTGTCATTAACAGGTTACAAGACACGTCTTCGTAAAAACAGTTTTATTCAAAAGGGTAACGGTACGCAGAAATGATCCATGGTGATATCTTTTGGAAAGAAGAATTTCGTTCAAAAGTTTCACTTCAAGGGAAGCACATTATTCTACACTAGTCTACACTAGTCGATACTAGTCAGAAACACAATTTTCAAAATAACAGGAATAACATACGCCAGACTAGAAATCGGAATGATACTAACAGAATCTCTAAATAACTTGTTACACAAACAAAAACTACCAATGAATATCTTAGAAAGTAGTTTAACACTTAATATTTTATATATCTAGAGACTCTACAATGGATCTCTATAAGTACAATGTAGTACAATGAACCCCCTCTAGAGGTAAACCTATCCCCCGATTCTCTCGATGTCTCAGTACTAACTAGTGGTGAAAGTTATATCAACACCAGTAGCTAGAGTCAGAATTCACTAAAACAGTTATAATATCATCAGTTATAACTTGTAATATAACAGAATGGTCCCGTTCTCATTCACCAAATCAGTTGAAGAAAAGTAAGATGTAAAATTATTTTATTACCTTTATAACAGGTTTACTGTATTTAAAATGAAAGTTTACGTCTCACTTTTTATGCACCTAATTGGATTAATGAGGCTGCAACTGCCACGCAGTGTACAATGAGGAAATTTTGCTGGAAAAGCTGTATTAGTCTCTTCTTTTCGATGTCTATCTATTGATTAATCTTTAAGTAACATATAGTAGAGTTGAAGTAGGTTTGACAGAAGGACGTTGATTGGATTGGAAATCAACTGAGTTTATATTCTCTATACATTATTTCTATATTGTTACTGTCTGGTTCGTGAGATTTATCATCATTATTTGTTAATAGCTGGAGACAAACATAAAAAAAAAACAGGAAAGCCTCAAACAGTTTTCAACAAATCTTACAAGTTTATAAAAATCACCTCAAATAAAGCCCAGCTGTTGATTTATAAACAAAACTAAAAAAAACAATATTATTCTAGATATTCTAACTCATTATTATTTCTGTTTTTACTAGGGAATAACTTCTTCTCTTTCTTTTATTTCCTAAATTCCTGTTTTAATTCCAGACTTCTTAAATTTCTCTTCCACTTTCTGTAGTCTCGAATACCAGACATTGTTGTGAAAGATTATCCAGAGATTGGTTATAGGCTTTTAATCTTTTCACCTCTCAATACAAAGTCTTTCCCAACTAGTCACAATAGATAAGGTAAACAGTCATTTTTTCAAGAAAACAATTCCCTAGGATCTATCTATGTTAGCTGGTGCTTAGTTTAACCAGTTGGTGTTGATTTACATTTACAGCTGTGTCTATTGAAGAGAGATAACTTAATCAAGGTCACCAGACTTTCACAGATTCGAACCTACGACCACCATTTATTCGAAGTAAATG